TGATAATTGATTCATATAGCTAAAATGGGTTCGCGGGCGGTCAGGAATCTTTTCTGAATACTATTTTGAAATCTGTCTCAGAAACCCCATATTTGCCCTACTCCTTCTGCACCTGACTGAGTACTAGATTTCATATTGAGATACTTACCCTTTGAAACTATTTGGTTGCCTTTTAAAATACTGAAATTGTATAAAAAAAGAGGCAACAGGTGGCACAGTGAATTTGCGATTAATCTCAGCTGATATTATGTTATAATTCTGGCTGATCTTTAGAGTATATGATTTGAGAATCAAGCTTGACATCATGATGTTGACTTGATAGTATCCTGGAACTACTGTGAAACTGTTGAGAAACTAGTAGGGAACTGGCTGGATGCCTGAGAGATTCCATTTATTCACCAGTTTCCGTCTACCTATATGTCATCTTGGATGCTGAGTTATTACGCTTAAAGTTCTGGCTGAAATTATAGAATAGTGTTGGCCGAAATTAAACGAATTTATACTGCGCCTTTTTTTAATATAAGTGTTACAAGAAAATATATATATTGTTAGAAGAATCATCTGATAGTGCTCCTAGAAGGCTTTATGTCAAGTGATATTTTATATGTATATTGTTAGAAAATATATATGCCAAATTTTTGCGTACCATTCCTCCTGTCTGTAGTGAAATTTTTTAGAGAGAATAGAAGGAGGACAGGTTTATTATCTTTCTTGAAATTATTGGCTATTTTATTTCTTTCTTAATTAGTGTCCCTACTATCTGTAGTAAAAAGTAGTAATTTCTAGAAAAAAAATTCGTAATTTTTTTATGCATCCCACGACGCATCTCACAAGAATTTTTCACTACCTCCAAAAAAATAAAAAAAGGATAAAAGTTTCGATTTTTACTAGGATGAGTAAGAACAGGAGAAACACATATCCTAAAAGGCTTTTCAGAAATCTAAAAGCGCTAAAACTGATAATATAGTTGTTCTTTCTGCTCGTCTTCAGAAAATTTTCATTACAGACAATAAGGCAACTTTTTAAGGTCAACATTCTATTGCATCAGATATTTTTATCCTATTGAGAGCCTGTCTCATTGCCTTCAGGGTCTGACAGTTCTAAAACATCTTACCCAACTTTTTTCGATGATAATATGCGTTCGAATGGTACATTTTTACATGCCAATCACAAAATCCATATTCAGAAGCCATCGGTTTTTCACACCCATCTTGTTTGCATGAAGGTTGCTGATGTCTTTTTCAGTGAATACAACACCCTTCTTGTTTCCTACTTTCCCGCCCACAAACCTCTCCTTCATTGGAACGATACTGGCACCATAAAATTTCATTTTTTTTCTTCGTGATGTTCTCTGTGATACCCTTATATGCTTTTTTCAAAGTTTGGAGATGTTAGACTACCTTCCTTTATATCTGTCACTTTGTCACTAAGAGTCACAAAGAAAAAGTAAAGTTATAGGAAAAAAAATCAAAATTTTTCTATGCTATCCCTATGATTATATGGGATATAGTATGATAAATATATAATATATGCATGATACATATATGCTAAATAATAAAAAAATAAAAAAGTTAAGAAGTCCAATTTTCTTCGTGACTCTTAATACTATTGTGATACCTATCTAGAAACCTTTCAATGGCTCTACAAATATGAATTAACTATATAAGGGTATCACAGAGAGCTGATACTAAGAATTTTTTTCTTTGTGACAAGAAATTTCAGCGTCCAAAATAGCCATAAGGATAGTGCATATGGATTATAAAATCCACACATGTCCAGCTTAGCCAGCTCAGCCAGCCTTTTCCGATGGTAGTATTCATTTGCTCTAATTTTTTTTTATATGGATCACAAAATCCATATCCCCCTCTAATCCATTCCTCACATCTGAGTTGTTTGCAAAGAACTTGCCAAGAATTCTAATAGACTTTACATCCCTTTGGATGATAGCATCTCCGATTACACACTTTTCCAATTCTAAGAATAGATAGACAATTATACAATATTAGGGTGTCACCTTTTTTTCTGCCTTCCATTTGTATATTGATTAATAATTTCAGTTAATTAATTTTATTTTAAAATTTTTTATTGCTAATATTATACCTTGAATTTTGGTATAACTATAAATTATCTTAAATTGCTTGAGAAAAAATAACACAATCAGAGTTTTCAGAGTTCTTCTCTGACGCCTTCGCCCTTTTTTACCCAGAGGCTGAAAAAGTAAAAGTTGGTCAAGTAGTTCATTATTCTGGTGAGAATTACTTGATAGGCATTTCAACTTGTGATGAATTAGTTGCAAAAAATGATGAGGGTTCGACTTCAATTCTTTAGGATGAGATAGCAAATCATCGAGATATCCAATTCATGCCGGTCGACATAAAAGAATCCAAAGAATATATTAATCAAATTCCCATTATATTCTTCGTCTCTATGGATATCTCATTAATGGCCAGAAATCAGTTATCACCATTACTTGTATCAAGGTTTTTTCAATATTCGTGTTCCTAATAATGTGAGCATTCCCAAATTCTGATCCAAAGTAAAGAGTATACTTGCTATCAGGAAAGACAGTAGAGGGAGTACTATGAACATAAATCTAATCCAAATGGAATGTATAAAGGCATATCCTATTCGTGATTATCATGTGAAAAAAAAGCCATATCTCTGTATTGTCGCATCCAATAGAGACGAAAGGTTTACTGCTCTCAATATTATCTCAAGCTACAATTCAAAGGTTGATCCTGAATATAAAATAGAGACAGCTTCAGACAATACAGACACATATTATCGTAAAGTTGCAAGAGAGCATCAGATATCATTTTCTGGGTGTGGATTAATAAGCAATTATAGATATAATTTTAGTGCACCTTATTATGCGAAATCCCATCACTGCTCACATGCATTTTATGCACACATTAATAACTTTCGCCTCATAGACAATTTTGAATCACTTTACAAAATCTATCCATCTTCTCTCTTTACTCACGATCGAGCATTGGTTCTAACATGTGACATAGAAACATATAATTCACGTGGATCAGGTAACTTCCCAGAAGCAAAAATAACATGTCCTAAGTTTTTACGATCTGCAAGACCCTACATTAGAAAGACGACCTAAAACTCTAAAAAAATATGTCTTGTTGATGTTGAAATAGCTCTAAACCCGCACGGGATAACAATTATATGTGAGAATCAAGCCAATTTATTAAAAGCTTTTGCTTTATGTTGGAAATCTTTTGCCTCAGATATCCAGCTTAGTTTTAATAATTCAGGATATGATTGGTCTTTTATTGTGGAAAAGGCCACCAAATCAAATGGATAGTTCAGCGAATATCAGCGAAATCACGTAAGAAAGCCAATGCTAATTCTATTCTTATTTGGAATTATTTTGGGGGGAAGGGAAACCATCAAGCAGTAATTTCTTCTAGAGGAATTCACAATAGGTAAAAAAGACAGATAGGAGTTTACTAGATAAGGATCGTAAAAAAACAGGATGTCGAGAATCCATTAAGATCAAAATCCATCCTAGTTTAAGTATTGAATCTTACTTTCTTAAACTCCCTAGATGTGTATCAATTGACTTTCTTGCAAGTTTTATGCAACTTCACCTCCTCTCTGAGAAAACATCATTCAAATTCTTCTTAGAAAAGTGTGGTCTCAATGGCAAAGATGATATGCCTATAAGCAAATTATGGAAGTATTATTCAGAAGTAAGGAAGTGACTTCTGACTCTTTCAAAAAACATATGCACAAAATCATAAATTATTGTATTATAGATACTTTACGTTATCAGAAGCTCATGGTCAAATCTAATGTTATAAATGATTACAGAGAGGTGGTCTCAATCGCTCATATATCATTATTTGACTCACATTATTATACTATAGGAACAAAAGTATCTAATCTCTTAGGCGTTGAAGCTTAGACTTAGGATATTCTATACATCACGAAAATTTCCAATCAGAAAACATCTGGAAAGTTTTCAGAAGTGTATGTATTCCCGTCAGAGAAAGGTCTTAAAAATAAACGTCCTATTATAGGTTTAAACTTTGCTTCCTAATATCCTAGCATAATCATGACCTACAACCTCTCACCTGAGAAGATGGTCTCAACACTTTCGAAAGCAGATAAACTAAGAGAGAGAATAAAGTGCTTCACAGTATCGAGTTCAAGTATGGCGGTAAACTTGTGCAAGCCTTGAACCATACAGCATAGGAATAAATCTGATCAGAAAGGTTTATTTCTAAAAATATTGAAAAATTTGCTCAATATACGAAATGAACTAAAGGTCCAGCTAAAACCTCTTGGAAAGAAAAAGGAATATATGTGATTAGTTAAAAGTAGAATGGATGCCAGCGGATCTATCTTAATAGCAAGTGTAATCAAAGATGTTTGTTCGCAAAGTGAATCTAAGAAGCATGCTGAAATAGCTGACATCCTGAATCCTTTCATTGGTTCATCATATGATTCTATCTGCTTCAATTATAATACTCTAAATTCAAAGCAGAAAGTCATTAAATTATATATAAATTCATTCTATGGTGTAATTGGCCAAAGTGACTTCCCATTCTATATACTTGAACTTGCTGAAAGCGTTACTTCAGCTGGACGAGAAAATATCAAACTTGTTGCAAAATTCGTGAAAAAGAAAGGTTTTGGAATAAAATATGGTGATACCGATTCCCTATATCTCACTTGCCCAGATTCCTATTATGAGAAATGTGATCTATCTTACGATATTGGGAAAGGCATAATTTCAAAACAAGAGTACTGGACCAAAATGGTCAAAATTGCTATGGAATAATGGAAAAATTATGCAATGAAATAAACAACTTTCTTAGGTTAAAAACCAAATCAGATTATCTTAAAATGGCTTATGAAAAAGTATTATTTTCAATAGTATTCACTGGGAAGAAAAAGTATTTTGGCATCCCTTATGAAGATACCCTGAACTTCAAACCTAAAGAGTTTTTTATAAGAAGAATCAACACTGTGAAATAGGGTAAATCCCAAGTTTTCAAAACTATAGAGAATCAGATTATGTGGGAAGTCATAGATATTAATAATGACTGATCACTCCATGATATTGCTGAAGAGGTTCTCGGGGATGCTTTAGTTAATACTAAGCAATAGAATTATGAATAGTTTATAGAGACTGACGCATGGAAACCTGATAAAGATAACAAAGCCGTTTAGCGATTTATAAGACGAATGAGGAGAGAACATGAGAGTAAAATTCTGATATTAGGTGAGCGCTTTATTTATGTAGTAACCCATCCTAATATGACCTTTGATTTACATGGTAGAAAATTAATGCTAATGAAAGGCGAAAGAATGGAATTCGTTGATGTGTCGAAGGAATTGGATAAGAAGCTAGATTTATATCATTATTTTGGAAAAACTATTATTGGCCTCTGTGCCCGATTTATTATGTATGATAAAAAATACGAGCCAGCTCTCTTAGATAAGATAATGCAAATCAATGATCTGAATGAGAAATATAAACAAATAGATGATTATGCATAAAAGAAAATCAAATCATAGCTTGAGGGTTTTGTGAAGGAGAATATCATAGTTAATGGCGTTACTTCTAAGATGATGGATCCTGTAGGATTGTTTATAAGCATGCTTACAGAAATGCGGTTAAAAAAGTACAAAAAATGTTATATCAAAAGATAGGCAGTTTATATGAAATAATCTATGGTGAATAACTTAATTATGAGATTTTCATGAAAGTAATCTTATCGAGATATTATGGGGGAGATTTATGAAATGCGTTATAAAAATTACAAAAGATAAAAACCTCTCAGTAAATAATGAAATGAAGGAAAAAATATGCTCTAATTTTGCTCAATATCCTACTGAGCTTGTAAAATGTATTGAAGAGTATAATTTATTTTTTCACAAATTAGTCTATCATATGCATTACAAAGAGCATGTACCAATTCCAGAAGAAATCAGCCTAGTTTCATCCATACAAAAAAATAAGATAATTATTAACCTACCTGCCTTACCTTACATATCAGAAATTGAGGCGTTAAATAATATTAGTAATTTATGGTATTTCTATCTTGAAGGTGTATTTGAATCAGAAGTGCTAAAGCAAAGCACTTAAATGGATTATATTATTAAGTATTCTAGTAAAGGTGTAGCAATTTCAGCTAAGTACTTAGTCATAAGACGCTTCACATAATATTATTTACATATTTTTTCTCATGCAATAATACCAGTTAACTTCAATTCCTATCTTCAAACTTCTGGTCTAGGATGATCATTCCAAACTTCCAGCTTCCGATTATACAACCTGACCTCAGAAATGTCCGGAGATGATAAAAAATAGTTTCGGTTAAAAGAATATTTAGTATTACTTTTTTTCCATGAACCCCATCTCCTTCTCCCGATCATGAGCCATATAATTGCAAGAAGTAATAAGGTAAGCATAATACATAATACAGTCGACCCCCTCTATAGTCACCTCCTATATAATCACTCCCCTTCTTTAGTCACACTATAGTTCAGTTCTGATTTTTTAAATAAGAAAATACCCCTTTTATA